GATTTTTATATAAAATTGCATTAATTTGTGAACTGAGAGAGATTTGTATTAATGAATCTTCAATTAGTATTAGAGATATTTCAAGTATTAATAGAATTCTTGTTGGTGAAATTGTTATTGAGGGAGAACAACTAGGAAAGGAGTTAAAGGGTGAGTCTTTCCTTAGAGAGTTTATAAGTTTAAGAGAGATGGGAGGTTATGATCAAATTGAAAAAGATTTAGTTGAAACACGTTACCTTTCAGTCTCAAAATGCAATTTATTACAAGCGTTAAGTGTTCTAGCAGAACAGTTTTTATGTGAGATTAATGAAACAATGTTCAGTGAAAGATATATTCAAGAGGCTATTTGTTTTCATTACACTATTAGTAAATTGATCTGTGAGGCTTTCTATAATAAATTTAATCCAAAAGATGTTCGTGAAGATATTTATAATGAGAAAATTGTTTTGGCTAAAGAAGCTATTAAAAACATTGATTCAGGAAAATACAAACATGACAAAAGAAGAAAGACTATACTTAGTTTTATTGTGTCATTAGTTGAAAGTATATTAAAAACTAATTTCTTCTGCATTGATAAATTAGCTATTGGATTCCGTTTAAGTCCTCATTTTCTTGATCAAATTCCTGAATTTGATAGAACTACGAAATACCCAGAATTACCATTTGGTATTTTCTTCATTTATAATAAAAATTTCTTTGGATTCCAAATTAGATTTAGAGACTTAGCACGAGGAGGATTGAGAACAGTCATTAATAAAGATATGGAAACTGCATTATTCCAAAAGACTAATATGTTTGGAGAGTGTTACAATTTAGCTTATACCCAACAAAAAAAGAATAAGGATATTCCAGAAGGAGGGTCAAAAGGAATTATTTTCTTACACCCAAATAATGTCAAAAAAGATATTGAAATTATTAAGAAGAAGTTAACTCTTGAAGGGTATTCAGGTAATATTGAAGAAATTATAAAGAATTATGAAAATAATGCAAGAAATGAATATTTGTATTCTATGCAAAAATGTTTCTTAAATACCTTTTTAACACTTATCGTTGCTAATAAAGATGGAACTATCAAAGAAAGAAATATCATTGATTATTATAAGCACCCAGAATATATTTATCTTGGTCCAGATGAAAATATGCATGATTGTATGATTGAGTGGCTTGCCAATGAGTCCAAAAGAATGGAGTATTTTGCAAAAGGTGCATTTATTAGTGGGAAAGAAGAAACCGGTATTAACCATAAAGAGTATGGAGTAACTTCTATTGGAGTATTTGAATATGTTAAATTAGGATTAGATTATCTTAAATTAAATAACTACACTATGAAAATTACAGGTGGTCCAAATGGTGATGTTGCTGGTAATTTAATTCATTTAGTTAAGAAAGAACATACAGGACGATGTAAAATCACTTCAATTTCATCTTCTGTTTGTGCTATTTTAGATAATCAAGGAATTGATATCAATGAATTAGACCAAATGTTCTTAAAAGGAAAGGCTCTTCAATACTTTAACCCTGATAAACTACATGATGATGGTTATATGATTAGAATTGATCAAAGAAGAACTTATCAACCTTTTGTTGAGCAATTTAAAATATATAATAAAAAGAATGGTAAAGTTGAAGAAAATTGGATCGAAATTAATAAAGGAATGAGGTTGTATGAAACCACTGTCCATCAGAACGTTGTTGATGTTTTTTGTCCATGTGGTGGTAGGCCATATACTTTAAATGAGAACAATGCTCAAAGTTTCTTCGTTAATGATAAACCAACTGCTAAAATAATTGTTGAAGGAGCCAATTTATATCTTACTCCTAAAGCAAGAGATGTTCTAGAAAAAAGTGGTGTGTTAATATTTAAAGATTCATCTGCAAACAAATGTGGTGTTGTTTCTTCTTCATATGAAATATTAGGTGGGTTAGCACTTGACGATGACCAGTTCATTGCTATTAAGAAACAGTATGCAAAAGAAATACTTAACCGTCTCGTTACCATTGCTCAAGGAGAAGGAAATTGCATGCTTCAAGCATATGATGCAAAATACAATTCTAGTTTAGTCAGTATCAGTGAAGAGATAAGTAGAAGAATTAATGAATACACTGATTGTATTCAAGAATTTTTAGCACCATTGAATTTATTTGATACAAGCAACAAGAAGTATTTAAATGTTTACATAAAGTATATTCCAGAATGTTTGAATCTCTATAAAGAACAATTAATGACCCGTATTCCACAGATGCATATGAAAGCAATCATTGCAACATCTTTGGCAACTCATTTAGTTTATTCTAAGGGATTAGTGTGGCACGTCTCAATTGTTGACATTCTCCCTAATCTTCTTTAATTTAGTTCATTTTTTTTGATCATTTATTGAAGCACACTATAAGTTAATGAAAAATAAAATAAGAAATATATAAAATCTTTAAGATATAAACATTCCAAAGAGTTTTAATTAAAATTGTTTGATTTGATAAAAGAATTGATAGTTCTTGTTTATTATTTTGTTTATTACAGAAAAAGTATCTTTTATATGAAAAATAATTATTTATTATTCTTTTTTATTATTCTTATAGTCTTATGAATGTTAAACAATAAATAGAACAGTAACACACTTCTTTATATTAAAAAAAAAGGGTAAGTTAAGAGAGAAGAATATGCCCATGCACCAATGGTCGTAGTTATTTTTAAAGTTGTGCTTTGTCATAGAATTTTAGAAGAATTCATAATAATTTATTTTGATAAATACTCACAAACGAAGAGAAAATCTAAATTCTGATCTTCCTGATCTTAACCACAGCCTATGTCCAAAAATATTTATATTTATGTGTGTACTTGAAAAAAATGATTCTTCTTAATGATTGGAATTATATGATAATTTATTGTTATTTTAATTAAATAGTTATGTTTTCTTTATTGTTGTTTCCAAAAAAAAATAAAAAATGAGTATTACTTAATTGAACTGAAATTTAGTAAAATAAGGATGATTAAAGCATTGTTCAGCAGATGGCCTTTGTAATGGATCAATGAACATCATTTTATTTATTAAATCTTCTTGGTACTTTTCAAATTCACTTGGATTTGATGGTAAATCTTCTTGAGGCATTAACTTTGGGGTGTTAATAAATGGATAATCTTTTAATACTTTTGGATATTTGTTATGAGCCATCATATACATTAAAACACCTATACTCCATATGTCAACTCTTGCAGCATAATAAGGTTTTTTGTTTACAGCTGATTGTATAATTTCTGGAGCAATTAAATAATCTGAATCACAATAAGTAGATGCAAGTCTTGTTTCATCTATTCTTCTACTAAAACTAAAATCAGCTAATTTCAATGAAAATGAATCTTCAGATTCAAAAATAATTGTTTGAGGATTAATTCTTCTATGAATAATATGTTTCTTCTGTAAATATTGAACTGCTTTAAGAATTTGGTATATTATAAATTGAGTATCTTTTGCTTTAAATGATTGATAAAATAAACGATGACATAAAGCTCCACCTTTAAGAAATGGTGTTATAAGAAAAATATGGTTATCTGTAATTATTGTTTTTAGTAACTTAACTATATATGGAGAATTAATTGATTGAAGTGTATTAATTTCTTTCATATTTATTGGAAATCTTTTTTTTCTTATTATTTTAACAAGTAATTCTTCTTTTTTGAAAGAATCTTTTTTAACAAGTACTCTCCTTATGTATTGTTCATTCCCATTAATATATCTTCCAATAAAATAATCGTATTGGATTCCACTGCTATTCATATCTTCTAATTCAACTCGTTTATCGATGAACATATATGATATAGCAACAGAACTTAATGGTTGGCACATAGTAATTTCATCATAACAATATATTTCATTAGATTCATTGCATTTAGTATGATTAATAAAAGTTCCATTGGTACTAAAATCTAGAAGATAAACATGTCCATTAGAAGGGAAATCTTTTTTAATAGTAAAATGATTAAAACTAATCACTGTTTTAGTTTCAAGAAATGACTGATATCCTCTTCCAATTCTTGTCTATATTTATTATTTTATTATTATTTTGTTTGGTAAGGAAAATAAAAACAGACAAACTACACTTTTATTTAATAAAATATCTGGATATGCATCATTTTGACTCTTTAAAATTCCCCAAAAATCTTCTTCCATTCCTTATATTATTCAAATATATATATTTTTTTAGTTTTAATTTAAATGAATAAGAATTTAATGATAAGATCTTAGAAAGTAGTATCTAAATTCAAATTTATTAAAATAGAAGTATCTAATCTATTTTTAATAACCATTAAACCCAAAAATAAATAAATGAAGTGATTAATCCCATTTTTTAACTAATTTTTTAATTTTATCTTCTTTATCTTCAACTCTATTATCTCGAATTGTAATTTCAATATATCCATCATCTTTACTCTCATCTTTCATTTCTTCAAGTCCTAAAATTCCAATCTTTATTTTTCCAAACATCATTTCAAGTCTTTTCTTCATCTCTTTTCCTTCTTTGATTTTATTGCAAATAACAATAACACCTTTTGGTCTTTGTAAATCAAAGTTTTCCCAAAAGTCAATACTCTTAATATTTTCTTCCACCCATTCTTTAGCCATTCTTTCTTTATCTTCATCTTCATTACAAATCATATGCATAATTTCACCATCAGGTACTTGTTTAAAAATTAAATCATTTTTTGTTTGTGACCCTTCTTCTTTCTTTTGGTTTTGTATTTTCTTTTTTTCAAACTCTTCTTTTAAATTATCTTTATCCACAATCACTGCTTTAGGTCTTGGTGATTTTGAAGATATTGAACTAGTAGATTTTCTTTTTTTAGTTTCTTCACTTATGCTAATCACTTTATCATTATCACCTCTTGGACTAACTGTTCCATGAATGTCGTTACTAGTTTTATGTCTAGAAAGACTAGAAAAAGACCCATTTGTGCTAAGGTCTTTCATAGTCTTAGATATTGATTTTTTTTGATGTAATTTCTTTCTTTTAGGTTCTTCTTCAAGTTTAACTCCTGTTGATGAAGTAATAACTCCTATTTTGTCAGTGTGTGTTTTTCGTGGAGATTCTGGTGCAGATCCAAGTGTTGGAGTTCTATAAGAACTTCCTCTTGAACCACCAGCTTCAGTTGTGTACTCACTTCCACAAGGGAGTATTTCTGCTGTTTGTCGATTAATTTTAGTTTTAGAAGAAACCATTAAAGTATTGATTGTTTGATTTATATTAAATAATAAGACATCAGTTTGAGTCGACCAATTTTTTAATGAACTTAGTTCTTCTATAACTTTTTGTTGTTTATTTTGACTTTCAATTAGTGTTGTAGAAATGTCTTGTTTTAATTTTGATACTTCTTTATTAAAATTGTTAAATTTTTCTTCAATAACACAATCAATTGAAGAACCTTTAGCAGAATTTGGTTGAGTTGTAATTTCTCCTAATTGTTGTTCTTTTAATTTAACTTCTTTTAATTGGTTATCTAGTTCATTCATTCTATTATCCAAATTAACAATACTACTTTTTACTAACTCTCCAATCCCTTCATAATTTTTCATATGTTCTTCTAATGAAGTTATTCTTTTAATAATTTGGTTTAACGCTTCTTCTGTTTTTTCATTACTTTCTTTAACCTCTGTATATTGGTTTATACCTCTTTTAGTTATAACAAGATTCCTTAACTCATTAATTTGATTTATTATATCATCTATCTTTTCTTCATAGTTATTTGTAATACTTGGTTTATTAGTAACAACACTATCAATCATTTCACTCATTAATCCTTCCATAAACATTCCACTATAATAAAATTTGATTGTATAACCATTACCAGTTCTTTCAATACTTTCTATAGAATTTAATACTGAAAGTCCTTCAGTACTAGAAAATACTTTTAATTTAGTTGAATATTTTCCTATAGTTTCTTCTTGTTTATTTTTTAATTCCATTTTAATATACAAATCATCAACCAAAAGATTATTTAATTTTTTTAATTTGAACTCTATTTGATAAACTGATTGTCCATCAACATAACTCATTATTTTCTCTAATAATACCATCTTTCACTCTGACTTTTTAATATTTTTTTATAGTTTTTTATAGTTCTTTAATAGATTTTATTTTTTTATTTTTTATCTTTTGGTTTCTTCAAATAAGAGAAAACAAAACATAAAACAAAATATTTAAAATACTATAATTTATAATTTAGTTTATTATTATTTATTAGAATAATTCATTAGTCAAACATGATCACATATCCAAAGAAGTTGGCATTAGAATCACAAAAAGTATCTACATAGTTGGCTATATCAAAGACTTGGGTAATGTCATTATTAAAATCTGAAATTCGGAACCCAATTAGTGTTAATCCTTTTTTAAGTTCTTGCTGAGTTAATGATAGTACTTCAGTAGAAATCTTTGAATGAACCATAAATAATGCACAATCATAATAATAACGATCAACAATACCACCAAACTCAGTAATGAGACCAGAAATAAATTGACTATTTCGTTTAACTTTATGTTCATTTACTTGATCAAAAACATATCTTATTTCTTCTGTGTTCTTTAAATTATTTTGATCAACAAAAACTCCTTTAATTTCATATGAAGAATAAATATTGTTAATACTAGAAATACTATCAGGATTCATAGTCATATATACATCAAGTTTTTGATTTATTGCTTCAGTATAGAAAGGAACAAAATCATTAAAATAAGTTTGATTTGTTGGGTTAAGAGTTCTAGTATCAATAATAACAGCTCTTAACCTTTCATTTACATACCTATCAATTGAACTTAGTTTTAAAGATGATTGCATTGCAAAACATTTATTTCTTTCCCAATACACTAAGGTTTCAGGCCAACACAATAAAAATATTAATAATATTAATCCAATAAACATTAAACAAGTACCAAATATAACTCCAGTCAACCCACACCGACTAACATTTCGTTGAATGGGTGTTTGAATTTTCTTTAAGATAGCCCGTGCATCTTCCATCAATTTAAACTATTTGTTTCTGAGTTTTTATTTTTAACATAAATTCTTTCAATTTTTTGTTATTTCTCTTTTTTATTTATGTTAAACCATTAAATTATAATAAATTTATTATTAAAATATAGTTTTTAAATATAGGCAAATAAAAACTCAAAATTCGTAAAGAAAGTTTCATGGAATCAGCATTCACTGAATATACCCCTACTGACCCACAACTACCCCCTATGAGTATAACACTAACTAAATTTCTCACCACGAGAATTCAAGAAACTTACAATGTGTGCAAGAGAGAAAATCCAACAAATATAAAGAATTGTTTAACTAACCCATTTGAAGCAAGACATAATTATGGATTAGACAACGAAAGGAATGAATTAATTGTATATAGACATAATATAATAGGAACTTTTAATTCATTTGAAGGAAAAGAATTTTCAATGAATCCATATATTGTCTCAAGGTATGAAGTAATAGAAAAATTAGGACAAGGAACATTTGGCCAAGTATTTAAATGTTATGATCATATAAATAATAAGTTTTGTGCATTAAAAATATTAAAAAATAAGAAAGCTTATTTAAGACAAGGCCTTTTAGAATGTGCTACATTATCTATTTTAAATACTTATTTTGATTCTAAGAATGAAAGAATAGTTAAGATGTATGATCATTTTATGTATTGTGATCATCTTTGTATTTCATTTGAATTATTAAATCAAAACCTTTATCAATACTCTAAAGAAAGAAGACATATTGGATTAGAACTAAAGGATATTCAAAAAAAGATAATTCAACTGTTAGAAGCAGTAGAATGTTGTAGTAAAGCTGGAATTATTCATTGTGATGTTAAACCAGAAAATATTTTAATGACAGAAAATGGAGAGTTAAAATTAATTGATCTTGGTAGTTCATGTTTTGAAAATTATACATTGTACACTTACATTCAATCAAGACATTATAGAGCACCAGAGGTAGTATTTAATAATAGATATAATAATGCAATTGATATGTGGTCAGTTGGATGTATTATTGCAGAATTATTTTTAGGAGTACCTTTGTTTCCTGCTGATAGTGAGTTTGATTTAATTGTAAGATTTGTAGAAATGCTTGGAATGCCATCTGATGAAATTATTAAAAATGGAAAAATTGCTGATCGTTATTTTAAATTAGTTAAAAGGACTAATAAATATCGGTTAAAAGAATCATTTGAATTTGAATGGGAAAATAATATTAAATTACCACCTCATAAAAATTATTTGTATTATTCTTCACTACATGATATTATTATGAAAAACCCAATGAAATTAAGTTTAAATACTAAAGAAAATAATTTTATTATACGAGAGTGTTTACTCGATCTTCTTCAAAGAATACTTGTATATGATCCAAAAGAAAGACTTACACCAAACCAAGCACTAAACCACCCATTTTTTACTTTTAAAAATATTAATGATATCTCACCAAAAGATTTTCATGAATGGATTCCTCCTGAAAGAGAATTTCCTTTTAAGGTTTATGGTCATTCAGTTTCTGCCGATCCTGAAGATATGTTATCAGATGCTTTTAAAAGTAAATTTGTTATTAATAAAAAATTAACTAACTCAGAATATTATAATGTTTTCTTCACATTATTACAAGCTGGGCATGTACCTAATATTACTATTGACAATCCCTTTGAATATGGCAGTATTACACCAAAACAATTTATTAGAGTATTTAACCCTTCACTTTCAAAGCCTTTTATTCCTGAACTTTCAACTGATGTCCCACGTTCATTTGTAGCTCAAGTATATTCTGCACCAGATTCTTTTAGTTCTGTTAATTCTAAAAAAGAAGAAAATCCACTAATAATAAAACTTCATAATCAAAGTAAAATTATAGTTCATCGAATGACAGATAAAAAAATTAAGTAAAACTAAAATAATTACTACAAAGTGTAATCAATTGTATTTTGTCTAGTAAAAATTAACTAATACTAATTTCAAATACTCATTCTTTTAAATTATTTTATTTATCTCTATTTTGAATAGCAAAGAAATTAACTTCTTGGTTTTGATTAGTATATAAACTGTCATTTGAAATTAATGATTGATTTTCTGATCTTACCTCATTAAATTGGATATTTTTTGTATCTTTTTCTGGTAATGTTGGAGCAACTTTTGATTTAGTAAGATTTATTTCATCGTTTTCTTTACTTTTTTTATTCTTTTTAATACATCTACTATAAATAAAAATACCAGGAAGAAGTAACTATCAGTCTTAGTTAATTCTTTTCTTTTTTCTCTTATTTAAATAAATAACAAACACTTATTAATGTCCCAAAAGAATTAATAATAGGTGATGCAATGAAAACCCAAGAAGAACAACTTCCTTGTTGAAATTTTGATTTATAAGTTTGACATGTAGATGATCCACTATGAATATCTTTTGACTGAAGAAAAGTTAATATAATTAATCCAATAGGAACTAACAATGAAGGACCTAATGCTACAAGGACAAGTATCTTTTTCCTCTTTAAATAAAGAATTAATGCTATTATTTCACAAATAAATATTGCAATAAGAGTCATATATGTTATTACACTTGTTGTAGTTGTAAACCCACATTGATAGTTAAATCCATTAACAGTTAAACGAATAGAATGAGCCTCAATGTCCCCACATGAAACTACTTCAGAATTATTTAAAATACTTTTTCCAGTCACTTTATTATATGTATGGCGTGGAACACCAAAACTAAATGTTACAAAACTTCCTATTAAAAATAAACAAGTAACACAAATTAGTCCAATAGTTACATAAAACCATTTTGATTTATTCATTCGATTTTAATAAAAAGAATTTTCAAGTTCTTTTTGTTTTTATTTCAAAAATTAAATAAAAAAGTTACAATTGGGGACATTTCTATTTCTCATTTTTCTTAGAAATAAATCATTAAAAATAATTTATTTTATTATATTTATATTATCCATTTCCCCAAAAACAAAAAAAAAACAAATAATTAGATTTAAAATGTTAAAGTATTTCAAAAAATATTTATTATACATTAAAAAAAAAATGAAATATATTAACAATTATAATATTTTTTAATATTATGACAATTTCAATTTTGTTTTGTCAGTGTTTCTTTTTTTTTTTAACTACAAAAAATAAAATTGATGATGATATCTCATTAAAATGAATTAAATAAAATAAGTGATTGGAATTTGAATGAAGCCGTAATTATATTAATTTGATCTTTTTATTATCAAAAAATACAATTATTGATAAAAAAATATAAAATATTTTTCTTAAAACCATTTCGTCGAATCTTAACTCTTCTTTATTAATATTATGATAGAGCATCATTACTTTATTAGTGGACGTCTCTCTTCTTAAAAATTAATAGCCGCTATCTGTCTCACATTGTTTATTTATTTTATCCACTTTCTGTTTCATTAACATACCTCATTCTTTTTTTTGTTGTACATCTTTATTTTTTTCTGATAAATTTGTTTATTTTATATTTCATTAGGCTTAATACACTTTTCTTCTTTTATGCATTTTCTCTTCATACGGAGGAATTGAAAAAACAAAGTGTTAGTTTTCTTTTATAGAAAATTGTTGAACAATTAAATTATTATATTTTGAATATTTGTTCCATCATTTCAAACCAATTTTCAATAGGTTCTGTGGCTTATACATATTTTTTATCTCATTATTTTTATATGGTGATAGTATCCTTTAACTCATTTTGTTATGTTACTGGTTTATGTTATTATTTTGAGTAATACTAATTGAGTTATTAAATATGTTCAAATCTCATAGTTATAATTTTTTGTGATATAATTCATTTTAAATTAAAAAGTGGTGTACACTAAAAATATTTATTTATTGTATAAATTTTTTTAATACTTTGTTCAAGTTATTATCAATTATATCCTGATATATTTGAAAACTCTTTGAAAGTCTAACTGAATAAAAATAAGTAAAATAAATTATTATGTAATTTTATTCAATTTCAATAAACATTTAATTTAATTACTAAAATATGTGTGTACAGTTGAAATTGATAAATTGAAGTGTCTTGTAGTTAGGGTAATTAAGCGATAGAATCAGGATGATTTAAAAATATTATTTTTATGATATTTTTTGCTTTAAACACAAGTAATGAAAAGTCCATGAATTAAACGATCAAGCTAGTTAATTGAATACCTTGTCTTATTATTTAGTGTTTAAATAATTCATTAAAACTTTATCCAGACTATAGTAAAATTTATTCATTAGTGGAGTATAATTTTGCCACTTATTGATTATTAATTATTAAGTACAATCACTACTTTAAATTATAGTTGTAGTATCAAGCAAATAAATAAAGTTATTAATTAATAAGTCTGAATTCGAACGAATAAATTTAAAATATCTTTACTTTCTAACTCACTTTATACGTGTTAAATAATTAGTATTACACTTAAAATATTGTACTTAAGAATTACTACTCTTTTTGAATTGTTTACAAGAAAGATTTTTATTTTATGCCATTGAATTTATCACAGAAAAAATTGTTTTACAATAATTCTTTCTAACAACAGTGAAATACAATTTCTTCAATTTAGTATAAAAGAATTATACAAACACTTATTGGATAAAAATATTAAAGTTATATATATAAACCTCCATCAACTGATTATGCTATTCATTTAGTTTATCTGGAACCATCTAAATAATTTCTATTTGAAATTAGCAAACACCTAGTGTTTTCCTACTACAGGACACTTTTCGAATCATAACACTTAAAAATGTTAACTGATTTTTTGACTCAGTCAACGAAATAGAATTTCTTTTAATACACAAGTAATAAGACTAATTTCATTCTATCACTGTTTTCTATTATTCTAGAAATGGCCTCACTCTTGTAAAGTAGAAACTGACTGAAAACATATCGTATTGATTATTTTTTAAATAAGAAGGATTTTAGTTTTATAGTTTACTCAACATTTTTCATTAAATCAATTGCATTTTGTGAGTAGTATTTAACAATAAATTATTGTCACTACCTTTCATCTGTTTTAATGAAATAGATAAATTGAAGGTGTTATTTCTGCTTTCTCAAACACGTTAAAATGTAACTTAACTATGCACTATTATCAAACAGAACTTTTACTTTGTTACGTTGTAGCGATTGTGCAGTGAAAGAAATGGTTTCCTGAGTGTGTTTAATGGATAGTGTACTGTAATATTGGAATATTCATACAGGAACTAACTATCAATATTAATTCTGTTCGATTAAACTATGAAATATAAAATTTTTAATAACAACAATAAGTAAATTAAATTATTGTTAAACACAACTTGGTATTGACAAGTATGAAGCTATGTTATTTTATTAAATAACTAATTTAACAAATAATTATAAAATACTATCTTTTGTAAATCTTTTTCAAATTTTTCTGTTTTCGAGTGGATGATGTATTTTAACTTAAAAAAAGAAAAGAAAAAAGAAACTAAAAAATCGAAAAGAAGATGTGGATATGGGAATGGTTTTGGAATTTATTAGCTGATTTAGGATTAGCATATAAGAGTGGGAAGATGTTATTTTTAGGATTAGACAATGCAGGGAAAACGACATTGTTGCATTTATTAAAAGATGGGAAAGTATCACAACACATTCCAACACAACAACCAACAATGGAAGAGTTAGTTATGGGGAACATTAAATTTAACACATATGATTTAGGAGGACACACCCCAGCAAGAAAAGTATGGAAAACATATTGTACAGAAGTAGATGCAGTGATATATATTGTTGATTGTGCAGCACCAGAAAGATTTGGAGAATCGAAGAAAGAATTAGATTCATTATTAAATGATGAAATGTTATTAAACACACCATTTTTAATATTAGGAAATAAAATAGATATTCCAGGAGCTGTTTCAGAAGCACAATTAAGAGAGGCAATGGGATAACACA